ACGTTTCAGCATTATCTGGCCAGTATGGTACGAGCTGAATGGTTTTAGGAGTTGAGCGGATACGAATGACCTTGGGACTAAGATCACTCATGACGAAAATTATGTCGAATAAATATGGTACAAGAACAAATACAAAAAGGAACGAACTCACCGTTGTTATCTGCGGATTTATCGTAGATGAAGTTCGCGGTTGGGCTCACCAGTTTAGAGGCTGATCGGATAGACGTTCGCGAACAGTACAAAGGTATCTTAACGCAAGTTCTTACACCGACAACTTCCAATGTGTTTCAATATCGCGTACCAAAAGCAAAGCAAAAGACAGTATTTGATCGTCCAAATTACACGATATATATTCCAGGACCAAAACGAGCTGTTAGGCGAACGCTTACCTGGCTAGTGATCGTGCACGAACGTGACACGATGGAGTCCCAAATGGCGGGGATGCTTGACCGGAAGCCTTCAGCTAAACAAGTCGACTTGGACAGTGGCGGTCAGCATCCAATGTTGAGTGATGATTGCTGTGGTCAATAATTTTGGGGAATTATTTACCGCTACATGATCAATAGGGACTCCGCATAACTGTAATGATAGAAATTCGGGGATCAGCAGTTAATTAACTATCTAGGGAACATCAGAGTTCGCCAGTGATCCCACTGTATCACGCTAGTGCTGCCACAAGAGGCATCTTTGCACAAACTTTAAAACCAGTTTGTCAGAAGTTTTTGACCTGAAACTCACGATATATCGTATTTCAAATCGACACGTTGTAGCGGTAAATAGTTCTCACTTTACATTTATGATAACGTTGTAGAGACTGAGGATGTTGACATTAACGGATAGTAAAAAGTACACTTACACAAAATCCAATACATACAACTTCTGTAGTATTCGTTCCACGTAGACCAAAGGCAAAGCAAAACACCAGAATTGACCGTCCAAATTACGAGTTATATTTCGGGAACAAATCGGAGTGTGAGATAATTGCTTAACTAGCTAGAGATCGTGCACGAACGAGCGAATGGACGTAACTTGACGACGCGCCACATAGCGTTGATGCTTGACCATAAGCCTTCAGCCAAACAAATCGACTTAAACAGTGAGGGTCAGGGTCCAGTGTTCAGTGATGAATGCTGTGGTTAATGATTCTGGAGAATTACCTGCCGCCCCAACGTCTTCTGCATAGGTCATACCCAAAACGCATTTTGGAGGTCCTGGGAATTTAGATACCCAGCACTGAATACATACTTGCTATTAATAACTGTGATCATGGGTCCGTCAAAACTTGCCAAGTACAAATAACGAGTAACTTTTTGACTGAAATACAAGCAATCTTATCTCTTAAATTTGATATTCTCATTCCTATTATTATTTCGAGTCTTCTCTTTGAAATTACATTCTACTCACTTCATTCTGTCTCTCTCATAGATTAACTTGGTCAAGAAATTGATTTAGAAACATATTATAAACCATTATCAGTCATGAGTGGAAGCAATGCAACCTTCAAAGGACACTTTACATGATTTATTATGACTTGAAATGATTTATGTAGTGGTCAACAATTTCTGTTACTTTATTGTTAAAATGAGTACTGTTGCTTGTGAGTATTTATTACAATCAATCCTGCCAAATGCTGATTCTTAAATTTTGGTTTTGTGGGGATTTTGTTTGATGGGTTTGAGGATTTCATCATGAGTTGATATCAGTTAGAGAACCAGTGGAAAACCTTGGAGTACTGGACAGCTGTTTCGCCAACCTAGTTTGGGAATCTTGAGCTCCTCGGTTCGAACTCCGGTGGGTGGGTACTACCGAAGAGTCCCAAACTAAGACGAAATGGCTGTCTAGTACTCCTAGGTTTTCCAATAGTTCTGTAACTGATGTCAGCTCCTAGTGAAATCCTCCAACCGAATTCCCATATTCTGCCCAGTCTCTATTTTTGTTTGTTTTCCTGTGATTCGGTTATTGCAAACTACTGTAACAAATAATTAATACAACTTAGTAAGCCTCATTAACCGTCACTTGATTTGAATTCTTTTATTTTCATACTAAGATAAATTATGACAGGTTATCGAAGCAACATATTCTTTACATCATTGCAATCGGTAGAATACAAATACGTGAGTAAAAGCATAAGTAGAGTCAAGCAAATCATTAGAAAGTAATGGCGTAATTGGGTGAAGTAGACTTTATTATGACTAGAGATATATTATGCGCATGTATTCGTCACTTTACACCTCATTATATGCTAAATACATTAACAGTTTAAAGAAGACCAAGTACATTGTTATGTGTAAAATTTAAAGTCGGACTACTTCGCCCCACCACCCCCCCTTAAATATTTAAAAATTATAATTGTTCAAATTATTTTATTCTTATTTATTTTGACCACTTCATCTTTAATTACGTGTTATCCTTGTAAAATCAATTTATTCTAACCATTTCTACCTTTGAAATGTCTATTGATTTTCTTCGTTAATTATCAACCCATTGACATTTTGACACTGACTGACTAATTATTGTTAACAAACATTTCAGTGCAATTTGATTGGTAAACTGTTGTGTATTGCAATAAAAATGCTATGGATATATATTAGAGTAGAGTCAGAGATGGGAATCTAATTGAAAAGTAAATATTTCTACGCTCAATCTTTCTGTTTTCTAAAATTTAAAGCACAAAACTTTCAACAGTTTAAACTGTTATAACCTATTTGACACGAGAATACATTGGGTGAGATGTTTTCGGAAAAGGAAACAGAGTTCTTTGCCACCTAACCTGACGTTAAATTTTTGGGGCAGGACTTTGACTCCTCATTATAATGCGCATACCTGTAGTGTCTATTTAAAGCCAAACTGTTAGGAATTTCGTTTATATTGTGAAACTTTTACATTCCAGCTAAACGTGTATGATAAACACCCTGTAGATCACGAATGCATAATAGCCTCCTCGAGACTGATATCGTAGTTATATTTTCTTTTCTTTTTTTTCTGATTTACAGCTTGATTCCTCACTGTATTTTTGGTACAAGTATGGAATTTTCAGCATGGATATCGGTAGCCCAAATTTTGCAGGTCGACCGTAGATATCAGGTGTGCGCCGGCGTGGGCTCGAACCCCGGACCATGTGCATGGTCGGCGAGAGTCTTAACCACTATGCCACCGACGTAAGGGGAATCAGTATATTTCTCTCGATTCAATATGTATCGTAATTCCATTTGCATACTGGCATTATATTTAATTCTATTTTGAAAATAACTCATAGTCAAATAATAGAGAATTGTACATATTATTTAGGAGCTATATAAAACCAAGTGAAGCTATACAGCAGAATTATACAGTAGATATAAAATGAAAGGTTTTGATGCACTTAGCTTCTCCTATCAAAAATCGCAGATTTCTTTAACACACTAAACCGTTTATATCGGAAGGAAAACTGAGGGAATTCAAGGCTGACCTAACAGTGAGTAGTACATGAGTAACAATTTATGAGAATCATTTTTAAATAATAACATTGTAATATGGGGTACTTATTAAACCAGTCAACTCCTAGAATTTTTTTAGAAAAAATTATTTTGAAAGTTGTAATTGAAATTACAACCGTTTACTTCCACTGAATTGTAATACACTAACTTGTTAATACACATAAATCGCCGACGACACAATGCCGTATCAAACTGAGGTCAAATAATAATAATAATCCTGGTCAAAGCAACTTATTATTATTATTTATTATTATTATATCCTTTAATTCCTGGAGGAACATAGGGCTTCAGCCACTCGTCTCCATTGAGTTCCGTTCTATGCTAGAGTTTTCACCTGGCTCCAAGTCTGCCCACATGCTTTCATATCCTCCTCACATGACCTCCTCCAAGTCACCCTCACGCTGACGACCAACTCACCGCTTCCCTTTAGGGTTACACTCGAGCGATGGCTTGTATAGTGATGTCACTTGATGGTTTCCTCAAAGTATGGCCAATCCATCTCCATTTCTTTCTGCCTATTTGTTTCACAATCGGTTCCTGGTTGGTTCGCTAATTGACAGAGATCCCTGTTGCTGATCTTTTCTGACCGGCCATCTGATCTTGAGTATGAGCGAAGACAACTGTTAATGAAGGTCTGAAGTTTGTTTGAGGTGCTGTTTATGACGTACCAAGTCTGATCCGTATAGTAGCACTGACTTCACATTGGAGTTGAAAATCCGGATCTTATTTTTGATGCCGAGTGCTGTTGACTTCCACATAGGCTTAAGAGTGATGAAAGCTTGTCTTGCTTTTCCGACTCTGGCTTTGATATCCTTGTCAGTCCCACCTGTAGTTGAGACGATGCTTCCCAGGTAGATAAAGGAGGCTGTTTCTTTCAGGTTCCTCCCATTTATGCTGGTTGATTGTTGTCTGTTGTTGTTGTTGCTGTTGGTGTTGGCCAGGAATCTTCATCACCTCTGTTTTCTGTATGTTCACCTGAAGTCCTATCTTCTCTGGATGCTTCTTCTGCCAACTTGTTGCTTTTCACTTGCATATCTTCCAGTTTGTTTGTGGGAAGTCAGACATATATCATCGACGAAGTCCAGATCCTCCAAGTTTTTGTGTGAGTCCATTTTATGCCTGTTTCCTCATTGGCCGTTGTCTACAATCAGCAAATTAATTACCACCAACTACTCGAACTCTGAAGCAATTGGTAGACGCGATCTGGATGTAGTATGGCTGACCATCTAAGCACAAAGAAGAATACGTCATGCAAAAACAACAACATTTGATTTATTACCATATTTTATTTATATATCATAACATGCTACTGCTCTGTTATAAATTGATGAAAAGTAATTCAAAGTGTAGTTTTATGTACAGAAAAAATATCATTTCAAATGGTACTAAGAAAAGATGGAAAGATGAGTCATTGGACTGTGATACATTTTTCTGTCCTTAGCATTGATTGTTTCGTGTTTTCTGTCGAATAAATACATATACAAATACAGGATCTATTCAATTCACACAGTTGTCTTCCTCTCTTTATTTTTTTAATTTGTTATTGCTTGAGTTTTGCATATCAAAAGATTTCGGCATTAATTTGAGTATCCTATCGTCTTGTTTGACATTTTCATAATTTGAATGACTTCTAAGCGTTAGAAAGGATCAATAGGTACAATATTACGTGGATAAACTTGCAAAATCACATTTTAATTCATCAAAAGCATTAAAACTGTTAGTTAACTTAAAATTCAGTTGGAAAGCTAAATTTAAAAATTTTTTCTCACTTTTAGGCATAAAAGTATGCTAACATTAAACAATAAACATCTTGAGAATAGTGAAACATAGATTTTCATCTAACTAACTAAGGTTTTATATAATCCATTTTAGATACCAATGCTTATTGTTTGCTGTTGGTTAGATAGTGAGTGACTCCGCCGAATTCGCATATACAAATAACAGAATATGAAGTCTACCACTAGTGAGAACTCAGCAGACTTCTTAAAACAAGGCGAATGATTATTTTTTTTAGCTATTTATGAACTATATCCTTCTCTTAAGACATTATCAGACAAATATCAAACTAGAAAGAATATAATAATACATCATCTGGTATTAAGTTACGTAGATAATTTCACATTGATACTCATTCCCCGTGAAGATACTTTTAATTTATCTATCAAAGCACCTGATTTGTTAATCAAAAATGTATCATTTAAAAAAAAACACGTAGGAAAGCGAAAAACGAGCACATTTAACTCCTTACTAGGGGATAGAATTAGCTGTGGAGTTATTCGCCTGCTTTTATTGTTACAGAACACAATGTAAGGTGTTCTAAATGCAATTAGAAACAGTTTCTACAGCAACAACACCAAGAATAATGAGGCCAGATGTAGTTTTAAAAATGAATTATAATTAGGTTTCGACTTATTATTATTATTATAAAATAGTTGGAAAGTCTACTACAACAAAGAAAGGGTACCAATTCATGCAAGCTTTAATATTTATTCAGACACATACTTAATCACATCATCGTTTTGGCTTTCCAAAGTATCGAATTTCCACAGTGGAATTATAAACTGAAGTAAGGTTGATATATTCAAGACTAAAGCGAATTTACAGACAGTCGAGCAGTTGTGAGTATTAAACAGTAATTTTAGATAAGCTTTTGTCTCAGATCAATGTCCCATTAACTCCTCTGCCTTGTTTTTGAAATATGCCTCTCTCATATAGTGAGTGACCTTAGATGACTGCTTTTATAGCAGAAAACAAACAGAAGCCTAAATTACTCAGTGCTTACTATGAATGCCATTTAGCATATGTTAGCAAGTAAGATAAAGCACTTCTTAGCTCTCTACTAGTATCTGCTATAAATACATATGGAATCACGTTAAAGTACGTAAGGTTATAGCATAACTGCATTTTATAAAACATGATTAGAGGGAAAAGCTACTTTTCAAGTTGTTTGTTAAACGGCAATGAACAGTTACCGTCTATCTGTTAACTTCCGTTATTTACTCAATAACCTCCGTTATTCACTGTTATCCGTTGCATTTTTTTCGTACTTCCTCCAAACAACCCTGGCTATTTCACTATATTTTTCACATATTTTCTCCAGTAGTATCTGACTTTCTACTAGCTTTCGGATCCCGCGGTTTCAGGATATCTGTGATAGATGTCACATTGGGGACAACCATTTGGAGGGTTACTCACTAACATCTCGAGACGATACAGATAGGCTAGGAATCCAGACAAAGGCGAAAGGCTGTCTAAGGTTAAGAAGTCAAGGTTAACAAAGGTAAAATACAGGAATCTACGTATTAAAATAAAAGTAAGGTTGGAAGGACATAAGTTGCTTGAGGTATCGTTATTACTTGAAATCATTTTAACGAGCGCGCGGAGAGTTTCAATAATAGTTTGTTGTTTCATTTCATTTGTTGTGTGAGGGCTGAGATACCGTCCTGGCGCCCAGACCGAAGCAGGTGGTTTTTTAAGGGACCACTCCCGAGCCTTTGACTTGGAGTCTAATCCGCAAGGCAGCGGAGCAACGTCAGGAGCTGCATTCCCAGAGTTGCTGGTGACCCATATGGGTTCAGACACCATTTGATCCCATTGGATTCTGGAGCCCATGTACCCCGTGGTAACTGCTTTTAGTCCAACTGCTATCCAAACAACCTTCGTGACATGGCAGGACCTGCAGGGACATGAGTCCCAGCCAGTTTAGCTTGTTGGGTCACTGTGGTATTCCAGCCCGACCACCACGGCAAGGTAGCAGCTGTCGGCCGGGCTATACCACGAAGATTTCCCTACCACTGAGTTGTAGCTTTAAATGTCACCATGCAGCCAATCTACACTTCACCATAAGGTTAAGACTATTGGCCAGTGACCTCATTAATTGAGGCTTTATTTTAATTTGGTCACTGGTAACTACTCGTCAGTCTAATCTTGCTTTCTTTCTCTAATACCAATTTCTCAAGATGACGGTGGTTCGGCATCATTATTCTTGTTTTGTTCAAATTCATAAAGGGGAATAAGTGTATGAAGAAACTGTGTAAAACTAACACAAAGTAAAGTGAAATTTGTCACTAACAATGGATGATAGTATATGGCATCAACAAAGAGATCAAGTAGATATAATAAAGAACTTGGCAATAATTTGTTTAAAGCAGTTTGTCTATTTACTACTTACATGCCAAGTAGTACTTGGTCTTATCAAGACAAAATAACCCAGCAAACATATAGACCGCTAACAAGATACTACGAAAGTTTAAAATGACAAATCGACAAATATCTCAGCATTATTAATGAGCAATACACAAGCATTTACCAGTATAAAGCAAGCTAATATATATTTTCCCACAAACACCTGCTAATGAATTAAATACATTTTTTAAATTATTCCTTTACGTTCGCAGTGGAGCTAGCTAGCTAGCTAGCCAGAGCTTTGAAGTTTCAGTAGCAGTAGTGTTTATTTTCACGAGATGCGGTTTCTGGCCTCATGACCAACCTTTCCTCTTTACCAGCCTTATTACTGGCTTAGCGACGCACTCCTATACCTAGCTAAGCTAGTTATAAGGCTGGTAAAGAGGGAAGGTCGGGCATGAGGCTAGCAGCCCCATCCCGTAAAAAAATACTGCATTACATAAATGATGGTAATGACTATTTTCAGCTTAATTTCATAAACGAATTTATGTAATTGTTCAGAATAATACCGAACACGTATGTGATAGGAATAAAGTCAAAATTTATTAACACACTTACTGAGAATCTGTTTCTTTTTGAGTAGCATCAGAATCTGAATCATCATAATGACTTGCTGCCGTCATAGCTGGACTTACTCTTTCACTTGATAAGAAATCAGCATCACCGTACATATCTTAAATGAACAAGAAAGAAAAAAAGAAAACAGAAATATGTGGTGTGACAGTTTAATTAACTTGCAAAGACTGACTGTTAAGAAAAATAAAACTGGATGTTTGCATGGAGGATTTCGCCATGAGCTGACATCAGTTAGAGAACCATTGGAAAATCTGGGAGTACTAGACAGCTGCTTTCTCCTAGTTTGGGACTCTTCAGCAGTATGCACCCAACGGGGTTCAAACCCAGGACCTTCTGGTTACAAGGCGAGCTGGCTCGTAGACCATCAAGCCACTCGGACCCGATCCAATGGTCCTTGAATTCTAACTTCTGTCAATTGACGACATAGTGCGACCACTTCGCAATGTCTTCTTCGACGAGTTACTGCCTCATCTTCAACCTGCTGGAAAGCCGTGACCAGTAGGGTCCTGGGTTCGAACTTGGTGGGTACGTACTACTGAAGAGTCCCAAACTAGGACGAAACAGCTGTCCAGTACTCCCAGATTTTCCAGAGGTTCTCTAACTGATGTCAGCTCGTGGTGAAATCCTCCATGCAACCAAACAAAATCATTACAAAACCAATACTTGAAAAAACTGGATGTCTTCAGTGACATTCTCTTTGTATCTGACTATCTATGTATTTAAAGAGTGACAATATTTCACATCAAGTGGGCTATTTTAAATGTAATGACTTCAAGACAGTCTTCAGATTATTCGTTTGGAAAACGCAAGTACACATATTTTATTTTTGTGATGATATACAGTTCATTGTTTGAAGTGTTGTGTATGGTGTACACCATGAAACATTAAGTCAACTATCTTGACACTGAAGCACTAGTACGAAAAATAATCAACGTGGAATGATCGATAGATGTACATTGGTTTGAGTAACAAAACCAGAAACATGTGCCCCAGGATACTGAGAATACCTATCCAACTGTTCATAAAGCAATTACATAAAGTTTGAAATTCAGCATCCAGAGGATTCAGGGAATTAGTGGGACACAATTTCATTTTAACACTTACCGGGATACAACATATTTAACTGATTCATATAATCACTTTCTTCATAAGGGATACCGAGTAAATTATCACTTCCTGCAGATCTTTTACGCCCCTCAGCATTTGATAATGACAACAAGAATGCGGCGGCATCATCAATGCCTAGTCCCATGCCAAAGTATCCTCGGTTTTCATTCTCGTCTTCATGAACAATACTGTTCAATTCATCACCCGTTAACAAATTTGGATGATATTGTGATCGTGCATGACCAATGCCAAGAACAGCTGCTAGTGCAGCTTCTGTTGTCGTGTCTGAATTGTCAAGAAGACCAGAATTAGCCGAAGTATCGATCATCTCTAACCATTGACTATTATGCCAACGAAAGCGTTCTGTTTGGATTCTTATCCTCCAGTCAGATTCATATTCCTGAAATATTCAAAACAGTCCGTGACTAACGATTTAGCTGAAATTGATCACTGAAAATGTGTCATTATTTGTAATAACAATAATAATAATAATTTTTCCTTTACGTTCCCAGTGGACCATAGGGTTTCAAGCTAGGGGCTTGAAGTTCCTGTAGCAGTGTTTATTTTTACAGAGTGGGGTCGCTAGCCTCATGCCCAACCTTTCCTCTTTGCCATCTGTTTTTTATTTCTGGCTTAGCGAGGTAAAGGAGTGAGTCGGCCGGGATAAAACCCCGGACCATGCGCATGGTCGGCGTACGTCTTAACCGCTGTGCCACCGACGCACACACATCATTATTTGTGTTCTGATGAAAATCAAGAAGCAAAAGCCACTCATGTGGATAAAACATTTCTATATTATAAGTAATATTTGCTTATAAATCTTGACGTAAAACAACTAGAAAATAACCGACTGAGGATCCAGAGCTCAGACTCGTTAAACATAGATATTGTAGCGGTAAATAATTCCAAAAAAATTATTGACCACAGCAATCACTCATTGGATGCTGACCACCACTGTTTAAGTCGACTTGTTTAGCTGAAGGCTTCCGGTCAAGCATCCCCGCCATTTGGTACCCGTCGTGTCACGTGCACGATCACTAGCTAGCTAAGCGTTCGTCTAACGGCTTGTTTTGGTTCCTAAATATATCTCTTGGTTTGGACGATCAATTATTGGCTTTTGCTTTGTCTTTGGTACGCGAGAATAAATTAATTAGAAGTTGTTGAACGAGATATCACGTCAACCCTTAAAATATTAATCGAAGAAATTTACCAAGAGAAAATTTACTGAACCTACAGTCACCTTTGAAATGAATCCAAATTCATATATACATGAATGTAAAAGTCATTATTAATAATGAGAAGTAGTTCAGGTATCACAAACTGATATCGGAGCTGTTTTAGTGTTACCATTTAGACGAAACACTTAAGTTTGTCAAACAAACTGGAACTGGGTGATGAAAACATTGAATGTCCTCAGTTAATGAAAATTCTCTTGTTTAACCAAAGGTGATAGTTAATCAGTAGAGTTGTACTGAAATTTTTCGTGAGATACTTCGAGAGCTACTTTGATTACTTAAATAGTTTAGTAGGTCAAGACTGACTACAACCTATGCTCATTGATGAATGAGGTCATGATATCACAAGAGATAACCGCACATTGGAAATAGTAGATGGAGCTTTAGCAGAATGTTTTTAATGTCAATATATATATATATATATATATGTTAAAAAATTCGCCAAGCTAAGTACAGTACATACAACTTACGCAGATAATGTCCAGAGTAATGTCGCATAGTTTTCGAATGTCAGCATTTTTGTCATGCATTAGATCGACAAGATAGGCGACAGCTTCTGAAATATAATTCAAAATTAGTGTGTTTTTTAAAGTGATATATTCATTTATCATAATCTGAGTGGTACTTCATTTTACAAGACTATTGATGTAATAACTTCACATTTGATACTGAATATGGGTATATGTGTGATTTAGAACAACAGATTTAAGCGAACAATATTGTTTTCAATTAGATCTCATCAGGCTTAACTTTAATATATATAAGTTTACAAATAAATAAAAAAACAACTTAATGGTGACTTATCATGTGAGATTCCACTCAAGGAGTATACGAAGAACATTTTACGCGGCACACTCATGTTTATTATTCTCTAGCCAACGAATGATTGGGACTCAAACAAAGGATAAGCTAGAGAGTTTTGCCACATCTATGTGCATTTATCAACTCAACTGCACCTGCGGTGACAGTTATGTTGGCCGTACTACTAGACAGCTTAGCCAACGTGTTAGTGAACATCTCCCATCGTGGTTTGGCAAAGGACAGACAAAAACAATCCGTAGATGAATTCTGTCACATTTTATTGATAGTGGCCATGTAGTGGAGAAAACGAGAGCCTTCAGAGCAATTCATCGTATCCCACCGAATCTTCCCAATAGACTTTGTTTTCGTCTACTGCACACAGCTGGGGCGATAGGCATTCGAGCTATTAAACCTAAGCTATGCATTCAAAAAAAGTTCGTACAGCCATTATCCCTCCCTTGGCCTATTAAGACATAACCAACTAAAGACTTCTACGCCACCCTTTGTTTATATTTTCAACCCCTTTCTTATCATCCCTTCATCTTATCACAACTTCATTATAAACGTGTTTCATTTCCTTCCCCTACAATCTAACATTACTTAATCGGTTCATTTGTTTTTACTAGTCTTTATCGACTGCTTCCATCGGAACAATCGTTTGTTTAATCATACTGTTTTTCATTATTCGTGTTATCACAGATTGCCTCACTTTTTCATCCTTATTATAAGACCATTATTATTATTATTATTATTATTATGACTAATTGCACAATTTATATTCACCATCGTATTCTCCCATAGACAAAACACCATGATTGGTTTATATTTGAACTTTTGTTTGTAAACTTATGTATATCAGAGTTAAGCCTGATGGGATCTAATTGAAAACAATATTGTTCGCTCAAATGTTTTGTTCTAAATTTTACTATGGGAATATTTAATGTATGTGTGATTTTAGATTCCTACATAAGTAATCAGAAGCAAGTCGCCATGAAAAACTAATAGTCTAATAGCATCTAGAAAACTACTAACGTTTTGTTTACGCTGTAATGAGACAAACTGTGCACTGATGTACACACTTGTACTTTTCAAGCGTGCGTGCATTAATAGTTACACACACACACAGCTTGATAATACGAAAATTCAATTGAGTAACAGTCAAATAATCACTTTCCTGCAGTTGAAATGTGTGTGTGTATCTGTGTGTAACAGTGGCTGTTTCTACTTTCTCATAAACATTAATTATTTCACAATCATTCGTTTGACTATACTCTTTGTTATTGTAATCCATCAAATGGACAACCAACCATCTTACCAGTTATAGTAAAATTAAACGAACAAATTAAGGCAAATTCTGGTCCGTTTCATTATAAGTGTAAATATAGTTGAGTGATTTCGAACGATGATACACTTTCGAAGAACAACTTGTGTGTGTACACACACAAAGAACATTTTTCATTGTTTTTGCCTCTAAAAGAAGAGTGACTTTAGAGAGAATGGTCATATTCACAAAATAATCTTATTTTACTTTTATGCGACCTTGGTGATTTCAAAACATCCTCAGTGAACAAATAGCTTTTCGAGTGATTTACAGGACTTGAAAGCTAAGTATATTTGAACAAAGCAAGAACTACAGTTTTAGCAGAATAAAATGGTACCATCTTTTTTTTCGTTGCCTTCTCGTCAGCTGCTTACATGGCAAAGACATTATTAAATATATCTACAACAACAATTTTAACATACTTGCACAGACAGTTCATTTTAAACAAAAATCAATCGATCAATATACTCATACACTAAAAATATATACATATATAAATATGCAATATTAACCACTATTCCGAACAATAATAATCAAACACAATGGAAACTTTTAGCATTTCACATTCGGAGGAAAGAGAGGTGAAATTATCCAGTTACCAGGGCAAAGAAAGACTGATAACCGCTTCTTTCTGGACGCATAAATCAGGTTTCAGGCGCTTGATGGAAATGGCTTCAGCAAACTTAAGGAGAATTGAGCTATTCTGCTTATTGATAATTTTGAACGACCTTTCAACGTCCACCCCATGACCCGTGTCGAGGAGATGCCTGGTGATGGCACTGTTTAAAGCATTTGTTCCCTTAAGACGTAAGCTTTTTGGTACATGTTCAGAAAATCGTAGATATGCCCTTCTTTCTGTCCTTCCAATGTAACTGCTCCCGCAGATACATGTAAATTTGTATACACAGTTGGAGGTAACATGAGAAGGATATCTATCGATTTTTGATTGCACCAAAGAGCAAGTTGTTCGATAGACAGGAACGAGCTTAGCTGCAGGATACGCTATGGCTAGTGATGTACTCAGCCTTCTGTTGATCATCGCTGCAACATTTTCACCTTTATAATCAAGCTGAAGGTAGACTGGTTTTTTTTCCACTGTGATTTGTTTTACATTTGTTACTTCAGATCTTCCATACTTGTTTATGAACCTTTGAGGATACCCATTTCTCTTCTATATATTTTCAAGGAACTCAAACTCCTCCTCTACTTTCTCTTTAGAGCATATTCTTCTCGCTCTATAGTACAAAGTCTTGACTAAACCACGTTTGAAGCTATGTTGACAAAAGCTATTAAAATTAAAATGAGGCATGAAATGTTTAAGCTCACAATTTAAGATATATAGATGAAGTCACAACCGGAACAAGGACGTCGTGCCTGTTGTGTCATAAATCCTCACATTGAAGAAACCAAGATATCTCTTTATATATGTCCAAACCGAGTTCACTTTTAATAGTCTGAGAAAATTTTGGCATTAGGGTATATGATATTCATTATGATAGAGGTTTTTTGTATTTCCCAATGAATGAAAAACAAAACGATATTGCTGTTTTTACTGATGTTTCGCTATTTAATGCTGCTAATAGCTTTCTCAAAGTATTATTAAACCAGAATTTACAAAATCCACTCAGCTTATATATAACAACTTGATCATCGTTCCTCAGCATGAAGGCATTTTTGCGTTGTCAAATTGGCCAGTTGATAAAGGTAACAAAACCAGGTGTATATTGTTGGATTTGATCAGAACGTGTAAAATTATAAAAGCAGTGTGTGTATACATAGCGAACTTGTTTATTACATACGTGTTGGTTTTGTCACTTCATGGAGGAGGGAGGTAGTGTCACCAGGTGAAATTCTGTTTAGACCTATTGCTGATGAATTTTCTCTGTCCATATAAATTCCCTTTAAATATAAAATAATTACTTTCTAGACAGAATTTCAAGCTCTTAATTATTTCACTGGTGTCCAGTGGTCATCTTTGTGATAACGTTGTATCTGATTCTAGTAGACTGGAAGTTATATCAAGACTTTCGGTAATTGGGATACTAGTATATAATGAGTTAATATCATAGCTTATCATAATGTCTTCTATATCAATTTCTTCGTGTTCCATTTCGAATTTGAAATCATATGACTTTTTTTTGAGTGTCCTACACGCTATAGAATTGATTTTGACAATATTGAAATAATCCAGAAAAATTTCAGAAATCACAAAGAACGTCTGTGGAGTACGTAACAATGTGATTGTACACTTTTTGGTTATTTGTAGAAAATTCGAGATATTGTACATAATTTTTGTTTAAAACGTTTCTTGTTGAAATATACATAACTTCCGTGTACAATTGAAAAATACACTTTGCTGTTGGAGACTTAGTCTTCGACTTTGGTCATTTCTGCTTACTTGCTCAACTCACACCGTGTTTTATATTTCGGATTTATTGTAGGAGTCTACTACTCTCAACCGAAGACATTTCTACAACCGGAACACAGCAGACGCAACCCAAACAATTAACGTACCCGTGGATTATATACATAATTTGTAGCAGAGGACTTCGACCTTATATCCAAGTAATCCTTTTTGTTGATACAACTCGTAACTGCATTTTTTGGTAATATATTGTTATTTAACACTCCATTGACTTGGATTATTATTCTTATACTTATAATGTTAGTGAACTCTAGTGTAAGTCCCCTACACGTCTAATACCAGAAGCACTTCATATCAAGTAGAATCCAAATTGCCAGAATTGAACAGGAATGACGTACTAAAACAGAATTCGACCTGGTTACAACACCTCCCTCCTCCATGAAGTGACAAAACCAACACGTATGTAATAAACAAGTTCGCTATGTATACACACACTGCTTTTATAATTTTACACGTTCTGATCAAATCCAACAATATACACCTGGTTTTGTTACCTTTATCAACTGGCCAATTTGACAACGCAAAAATGCCTTCATGCTGAGGAACGATGATCAAGTTGTTATATATAAGCTGAGTGGATTTTGTAAATTCTGGTTTAATAATACTTTGAGAAAGCTATTAGCAGCATTAAATAGCGAAACATCAGTAAAAACAGCAATATCGTTTTGTTTTTCATTCATTGGGAAATACAAAACACCTTTATTACAAGATATCTACTGTCTGTATTTCGGTAAAATTATCAATTTTATCAACAATAGCAGTGTTTTTTATTCAAGGCATGTTTATAACTAGTATCGTGGATAAAATGTCAGCACTAAAAAATAGGGTAATATCTTAGATACAAGCGTATATTAATGATACATATACACGTATGTAATAGCTCTAGTCAATTTTTATAACTCATAGATTTTTTTCAAGTTAGAAAGATAGATTATACTAAAGAGCTCAAGTATAGGTGCCGAAGAATGACTAAATCAAACGGTCAACACTTCCAAAGACGGACAAACAGAAAAAATATTCGGCGTTTTTTTTGCATCAGTATGAAGATAAGAATTAAGGTGGCCTAGTTCAATAATCCTTAAAACTTTTATGTCAGTTAGTTTATCAAGAAAACCAACTAACCATGAGCAAGAGAAAAATGAAATTCAAAGAATGAAAAATATCATACTTATATTTTCACATTTTTACGGTTTTGATCGATGAGTTAGGTGGACAGTTCAGATCCGAATTTTTTACTCGAAGTGTCAATGTAATTTGTATAGTTGGTCATTGACCTAATACATACGGAATTGAATTATATACATTAAAGGAATCATGAATAAAAGGGTTTTCCATGAAAGTTATACTGTGAGTAAACACCTTTCCAACTTTTGGTATACAAAATCCTGAATTAAAATATTGAATACATTTTAAATAACCACTGTTATAATGTCTGAATTCGTCTAAAAAACTGTTGTTATTATTATTAGGGTAAAACAAGTCATTTATTTCTTAAACTCTACATTTATATACTATTAGTACATGGAAATATATGAAAGGAAAACAAATGAGTAGTACTCACGCGTTGTTTTAACTATTAGATTTCTTGCCGATTCATGATAGATTAATCGGAAAAACGTAAAAACAATTTGAAATACAATTTCATCATCTTCTTGTTTAGCTAAATGAAACCAAGCAGAAGACGTGGTGAAATATAGATACATTTTTTTAAAGTTAAAAAAAAACAACAAATGCTTTAAGCTTAACAAGACTCATGCAGACTGCTTACTTAAACCAGTAGGTTTCTCGTAAATAAGTTGGACTTTGACAACAATGTAATTATTCACAGGTGAATGAATATATGTAATGTTCTCCACTCATTACAATGTAACGCTATTATTAGCATATGATTTCGAACAGATATTCAGTTGCCAGTAAGAATTTTGCATTCTAGAGTATATAACAGCACTGTACACTTTTTATTCGATTTTAGCAGTAATCCAGCAGGAGGGCGATAGTCCTTAAATGTCATTTTACCTACCCGAATTACTTACTGTATTGCAAACCACATGGATAGACTTAGTAACAGCAAGTGCTACACCAGTTACCGTCAAAATAAAAAATTATTTTAGAAGCAAAAGAAATAACTTACCATTTAACAAACCAATCAAACTATGTACAATGCCAGCTTCAACAACCATTCGACCAGCATCAGGATCTTGACAAATGGCACCAAGCAAGCGTACAATCTCCAAGATAACATCATCTTCTATAGAATTGGGGAACAATGACGAAGAGAATAAAATTGGTGTGAAGGTATCGGAATTTTTGAAGCGCCACCCATAAAATCGTGTGATTTTCGAGCTTCAGCACTGTCTAGACGACTTTTAATCCATTTAAGCAGCTTAAATTCACTAATCACTTTACTGTAATGAATATCACTAAGATCAAGGTTGGCTAGACAGCCTAAACATTCAAACACAAAGTCTTCATCTTTGGATTTATAATCATCTCCGTCATCATCATCATCATCATCGTCATCATAATCATCACCATGATTTACACTGTCGTCATTCTCTTCGTTATCACCATCGTCATCATCATCATCATCATCATCATAATTATAAATACGATTATTATTTTCAGTTTTCTTACTGTTCGACTTTAAACGATTTTCGAATAAACGTAGAGAAGAATTCAGGTCACCTTTAGCATTCAACTTCACTTTGCTATTTAGTTTCAACTCATTGCTTTGTAAAGTAGACTTCTGAGAAGAATGAAGATTTCTTAGTGTATTCTTTGGAGTGGTTTTTTCTTCAGTTACAATTTTTATTAAATCCGGTAAAAAGCCCTACAAATCCAGAATAGAAACAAAATTTCAGGGAAAAAAAATGACAAAATGTGTCCAGCTTTTCAAGAACACATTCATTGTTGATAAGCGGGAAATATTTTTGATGAAATTTCAGTATGCTTGCGTGTATGCTAAAAATACTCTTTACTCTTTTTATTCGTTTACATGTTGTGAATTTTGCTGAGTTGTCAACAAAATAAAAACGTGAGATAAGCGATAATCTATTCGTAATTTCATATGAAAGCCCTCATTTTGAAATTGAGAATAACTCTATGTCTAGCTGTTGGTCTTACTGTCGTTTCTTTTCAGAATAACTTCAACAGGCTGCAGTTGTTATCGCAATCCGAGAACAGATAATAGGTATATGAGAGAGTGATAAATTATATCTGAAATTTGAGTAAGCAGAATCAATATATTTCGATCCGACAATTTCCACCTTCATATTCTGAGACAGTGATCCGACTAAACGATATTTAACATAGGCTGAAGGTCTGAATCGCTGAAAAGAAGTAACCATTTTTTATTTTTACTTATTTATTTTTCCTTCATGTTCCCAGTGGAACATAGGGCCTCAAGCTAGTGGCTTGAAGTTTCTGTAGCAGTGATGATTCTTTTTACAGGACGGGGTTGTCAGCCTCATGCCCAACCTTTCCTCTTTACCAGCATTATTTCTGGCTTAACGAGGTAAACGAGTGAGTCGGCCGGGGGTCGAACCCCGGACCATGTGCATGGTCGGCGAGCGTCCTAACCGCTGTGCCATTGACGCAACCTTTTTTATTGGGACAATTTTATTCATTCTGGATTGGGCAGACTCACAGGTATGCTAGAATGATAATACACTAATCCTGTGAATTTGCTGTTCAATGGCTGGTTAATTAGATTTAGGCAAGATAGTGCTGAAAAAGTGTCAAAACACTAGGACAATCTAATTACACCATTTCTGATTGGTTGGAAAAAACTCCCTATCTTGGTCTAGTGTACCAAGTCTTCAGGTATAGAAAACAACAATTTAGTGGTCACGGTTTTTTTAAATATTCCTATACATTCCCAGTGGAACATAGGGCTTCAAGATAGAGGCTTGAAGTTTTGGTAGCACTAGTGTATTGTTTTTACGGGATGGGGTTGCTAGCCTCATGCCCTACCCTCTCTCTTTACCAGTTTTATTACCGGCTTAGTGAGGTAAAGAAGTGCGTCCGTGGCAGGGGATCGAACCCCGGACCACCTGCATGGTTGACGAGCATTCTACCGCTGTGCTACCGACGCACAAAACCAGGAGTACTGGACAGCTGTTTCATCCTAGTTTGGGGATCAACGAAATTATGCACCCAATGGGAGTCGAACCCGGGACCTTCCGGTTACAAGGCAAGCTCGTATACAATTCAGCCACTGGGACGTTATTAGGGCGAGGCACATGCATATAGCACACAGCCTCCTTCGAACCTTGCATACAACCATTAGGTCGCGTACTATCCCATCGCCCTTGACAGATCTGGCAACAAAAGTCACGAGAACACCATCAGAGCATATGACAGGTTAGGTACCCCAACATTCAGAATGGATCACAAAATTATATCATATGTATAGGTGTGTTTTGAAGGCAGTTCAACAACTACAGCACTTATGGATTATTTATTTTATTTGCTACTATATTGGTACGCGGATAATCTTTTTTGTCTATTACCAGTCATTTTGTCTGATGGAAAGGATTCTGACCAACTTAGGGCTTCATATGAGGGCATAAACAAATGTGCTAGTTTGCAGTATGCATTTCACAAGTGATTATTTCTGCAAACAGTGATTGCAGAGATAGCAGTAGAAAGGCTGTGTATTCACTAATGAATTATAGTCAAAAAACTACTGAGGTATTGCGTTGATCTAATTTAGTTGTGTCTGTGAGAAAACATTGTAATTCAAGTGTTGGTTTATAGGGATTTGATTGGTTACAGGATTTCATCATCATTTCAATAAGATGCTCCCTAGTGACTTGCCCTATTCAGGTAGGTAGTTATCTGGGGTTCCAGTGGGAAGCCGTGACCAGTAGGGTACAGCAGGTCGGATGTGAGGACAAATACTCGCCAAAGACATTGGCTAGGGGTCGCGCTATGTCGTGAATCGGCAGAAATTAGAATTCATGGGCCATTGGATTGGGTCCCAGTGGCTTAATGGTATACGAGCTCGCCTGTTACTCAGAGGGTCCTGGGTTCGAATCTCGGTGGGTGCGTACTGATGAAGAGTCCCAAACTAGGCTGGCGAAACAGCTGTCCAGTACTCCCAAGTTTTCCAATGGTTCTCTAACTACTGTCAGCTCATGATGAAATCCTGTAAGAAAACATTGTAACTCATCAAAGTCGAGCACCTAAGCTATGAGTCACTAAATAATATTGTTTAAAAAGGCGTACAACGACTGGGGTGATAAAATCAAGTTAATCCGAATTATTTTAATCCTGAGAGAAATGTACAATAGCTTACCACCATTTTTAACTTTAGTAAATTATTGTGCTGAGTTGCATTACGCAGCATTTTCATGATTAATGCATCACGAAATTTTATTGCACGTTTTGCCAGTACTTTAAAACATCGTCCTTCATTAAGCATAGAATTTGAGCATTGATCATCGCGTACCAAGTTGATAGCTAAAGCCATTGGAACTAAATCTGATTTTTCATCTGGATTTTCTAGGATTAATTTCATAAGCTAAATGCAAAAAGTGAAGAAAAATTAGATATTCACCTTAAGGATTAATGAATAAATTGTATGGCGAATTGTTGAATTACGTTATTTCACTAGTCTTACAACATAGTAAAAAGAATTTCACTATTGTACTGAGAATCTCTCAACCGCATATCATGAATTTAGCTTTAGTGTTAATCAGAATTTTCTTTTAACAATGTGTATTTGCAATTTTTAAGGGAGATTTATTCTTACTCTGAGATTTCTGATATACATGTAGGTTGATGGTTAATACAACTACCAGGATTTCCAACATGAAAACTATGTCAAATAACATAGTATTCTAGATTTTGACGTTAATGTGAATAAAGTAGCATACAACTTTTGAGAATTCACACAATTCAGCGTTAAATGATTAGAATTTTCAAAAGAATCGTTATTGAACAAAGAATATTCTTTTCGATAACTTCATCATCGAGTTCTGCAGTTATAAATACATAATAGTGAATGAATTAGTGTTATTACCAACAGCTGATGGTGCGCCGATATTGAGCTGTTGAACACCTGGTCCTAACTGGCCACAAAGCTTATATGGAAGAGTCCTTTTCTATCATCTATCGAGTAGCAAAAAAATTTCCAAAAGCATCCAGGTACAGCATACTTCAAATAACTGAGGCTATCAGGATTCGCCTGTAGAAACAGATGCTCTGTGTTCAAAAGAAGCAAGTCCAGTCACTACTACTACTACCCTGGCCAGCCTTCAATGGAGACTATAGATTCATGAATTTGTAATATTATCTTTCCCAATTTTTCTGATATTCGGTGTATGGTTATTGTTGATGCCACCGAACTGTAATCCATTGATAACACTATTTGATTCAATGTTATTACTGATCGGAAGTCACATATGAAGTTTGTCAATAAACTGTATGAAACAATACTAAAGTGCACATTTTGAACATTGAGTGTTAGGAGTCGATTGGTACACCACAAAAAACCCTGAATAATAAAGTTTCGACACATTAACTTATGCAAGTTATATTTTACACATAAGAATTCAAAGATATATCCTCTGTATGTGGTATAGATTGACCAAGCAAACAAGCGGTAAACTGTCAGTATCAGTAAGTCTTGCATAATCTTCTCTGACTGAAAAATGTGTGCATGAGAGACTGAAAAGAACTTCTCAAACAAGGCGCACTATGAATGACCCAAGTAACAATGTTGAGTTAAGAGACAACAATGAACTAAAAAAGAGAAATGGATATAATATTCATACAAAATATTAATACGGACTCTTAGATGACTGAATACGTCTACTGAACAAACAGAAGTAAAATTCGTTGCCTGTAGACAACACAGCCTATGGTGAAATTTCTCAAAGATATTTTCGAAAACCAAAAATATTTGAATCGAAATAGATGACAAACTTCACACTAAAAGTGGAATGGATAAAAAGCATACCAAACTTCAAGACAGTTGACATGAGCGGTTACCAAACACCAATATCAACCAGTGGCATAAAGCAGCTAGCTTATAAGGGAAATAAATACTAAAGTGATTGACTTGTAGGAGGTCATGTGAAGAGGAGATGAAAGCATGTGGGCAGACTTGGAGCCAGGTGAAAACTCTAGCAGAAAACCGAACGCAATGAAGACGGCGGCTGAAGCCCTATGTTCCTCTAGGAACTAAAGGAAATAATAATAATACAGAACTCCATTTGTTATACTTCACTTGTTCAAAGTGAAATGATGTGCAACATAAACAATAACTTACAAAGGATAGACAAGGTGTATTCACAAATGCCGGTTTTGATTGATCTTCAGTACTGAGGTGATACAATATATACAAGGCCACTGCTTGATGCTGTACGTTTTCTATGTGAAGAAGAAATGTTAAACATGGGTCAGTATCCTGATAGGATGAAATACAATGATAGTACCACACACTGCTAGGTTAAAAATGACTAGTTTAGGTTGAAGATTTTTATATTTTTATTACTATATTTTAGTACCACTACCTAGTTTGACAGCTATAAACATTTATTAACGCATTTATCTTGGTATCTGTCCCATGAAAGCCGGGATTGACTTATAGAATGTGTGTTTTGTTCGGTTTAGAAACGGTGACCTGGATTTATGGCGATGGTGTTGCAAATGAAAGTACACTACATTAAGATTTACTTTTAGACAAGTAACATGGAAACGCAGTAGTATTCACAGTAGTATCGAATTATGCCCACATCCAGATAGGAGCCAATTGATTCTGTCCAGTTGGAAAAACGACAATTTTTATTTATTTATTTTTGATTACAGCTGATTCCACACTGTATTTTTGGTGCAAGTATGGAATTTTCAGCATGGATATCGGTAGCCCAAACTTTACGTAAAACAGTGTAAATGTAAACAAACAGGTGGAGATAAACTTCAGAAATTAAGTGGAAACACCATTTTTGTTAGGCAGAAATGAATGAGTAGGCATAACGTCATCAAACTCTCTTACATGATCGCAGACATATAATGATGTCGTAATTTTAAGATCTCTACTATTATAGATTTGTTAGGACAGGAAATTTGTTCAAAAAGGTGATGTATTTCCGAATACATTTCGAATTATCTGATCAGTCAATTTATAAGAAAAGTCAATTAAAATATACAAAACAATATTCGATTCAGGTGTAAGGCGAACGACAACTGATATTACTCCTGGTAACATTATCACATAAGGAATAACCACTTTACGTCCAAAGTAACAATAACCAAAACTGATGACAAAGTAAGCCATGTGTCCACCAGATACACCTATCTGTGCAAAAAACTACATCTCAGTAGGAAACATGCAGTAATCTTGCGTCTTAAGATAAGTTTTTTGGTGGAGGAGAGACGATCTGATAAAAACGATCGACTTACAGAAAGCCTACTCGGGCAAGATGCCGTATAAGTTTTAAGTTTTGACTAGAGGCTGGATAAAATGTTTAATTCATAGGATCCAGCATATTAGTACTGCTAATACAATGGATAATTATAACAAAATAGTAGCTGATATACTCGTAAAAAGCATTTATCTCTTGGAGTTTTAACCATAGTAGGAGATGACCAACCTAAAAGCTTACAGTTTACTGAACTACAAAGAAGGATGTTTACAGTGGGAAGCGCGTATTACAATTTCGAGATACATAGTTCAGTTCATCCTTTCATTATTCAAGAAAGAAGGCTGTTCTACGACAAACCTCAACACCGCACAAACGACTACGCCACATCCTAGCTGGCGACAAATAAGGGCAGGAGTATTTGTACTCCGCATATGAGGGCTGAGGAAAACAGCTGAAAAACAATTAGACTTTCCAATTTCGAAAAGTAAAGATTCATTAAAACAAGTCGAAGTGATTAAGCATAATATTCATGTTAGAAAGGTCTTCAGTGTATTATATGGCATCTGTCAGGGACGCATACTGAAATATACCAAGGCTATAACCATTCGCAAAGTAAGACCTGTTCTCTCTGTGCAAAACACTGTTTATAATAGTTGCACTTCACTTAACTTGACAATCCTTATGTAATCATATTATCAAGAACAATTTCAACTATCGTCCACCTTCGCGTGAATTGTCTGTTCATTTCGTATATTATTATGATAACTGACCTTCCATCTAATTGCTTTGATATAAATTGATTATATAAATAGAAGTCTGATTAGGCCATTCAAATTGAGCTGGGTAAATAAATTACATTTTTCGGATAAACTCTGTCTTCTTACAATATTATCCATATTTTTACTAGGTGCCATTTAAATATTGTCTGATAAAGTAGTGTGAATAACACGATTTCTTGGTAAGTTTGTGGCGTGCGCTACTGACAACATTTATTAGTAGTATATAAAGAAATGTTCTTTGACATAAAAATATCAAATAGTGGAAAGATAGATTCAATGTCAAAGACAGCAAATGATTCATCGTTGCGGCACAATACAGGAGACGTAAAAAGGAAAACAAAGAAACACAATATGAAGGGCAGAAGTAGTACAACACAGGAGATCTGTGCAAATGATTTTCTTGTTCTCTGCTGTCACAAATTAATCCCTCTGAAGATACAATTATTTCTCAATCAATATCGTCAACATAAAAGAAAATTCTGCAGAATACTTTTAGAATTACTTGTGAAATCTTCACAGTATGATCATCTACAGGGAATCAATTTACATCACACAAAAGTTGATCAAAACTGAACTGATATCTAAAATTGAATATCACTCACCTAACAGTCCAACAACTTTGTTTAAAACGCCTTTGGATACCATTTCTAACCGGGCTGATGTATCAAAACTAAGGTTATACAATAAGCGTAAAGTCAGATTAACTAGGTCCTCTTCTTGACGAGATAATAACTTGCCTAACTTCTCAATTATGCCATTTTTAATCTAAAATATGTGGAACATATATATACGCATACAGTCGATGAATTCACTGAATGAAAATAATACTTAAATCTCATATAAAACCAAATCGTCTAACAAATTAAGTATTTAAACAAAAGGTAACAATGCAAAATGTATAAACTTTAGAATTTCTTAAACCAAATAAAATCTGTTTCAGGGGGATTAGAGTGTATCACACTAGAAGCAGACAAAAATAATGTTAATAAACACTGCAGACTGTATTGACAGTGAGCATAAATTCAGACACAGATTTTTTTCTTTACACTGTTTAATTTCCAAAAAGACTAAGAACTATTAAAAGAGGCATTATCAATATAGAAATTAAGTTAACCTCAGTAATATTTCGAGTTTTTAGTGCGCTATCTGTATGTTATTCTATGTAGACAACCGGTCACCAGATCAGAAGAACAGTGGATATATGTAAGCTGAATAGTGTTGCATAAGCTGCATCGAAAAGCGTCAAAGACAAATTCTAATCGGTATATATTGTAGAATTTGGCCACAATCTTAATATTTTTACATCTACTTCAGTAGATTAGAATTCACAGAATATGAGTACATGTATTATTTATCATTATTATTTTATTTTACTCCTTTTCGTTCCCAGTGGAACATAGGGTCTCAAGCTAGAATCAGCTTGAAGTTTCGGATGTAGTGGTGTGTACTATTTTTACGGGATGGGGTTGCTAGCTTCATGCCCCTACCTACCCCCCTTTACCAGTCTTATTACTGGCTTAACGAGGTAAAGCAGTGAGTTGACAGGAGATCGAACCCGGACCATATGCGTGGTTGGCAGCCATTCTACCATTGTGCCACTGGCGGATGAATTTATAGCACCAAAATCTACTGACAAAACTACGGAGACAATATGTCATCAAATACTTATCTATAAACTACAATTTTGTTTGATATCATAAATCACTCACTATGTACTTTTGAGTAATTCGAATTTACCAGTGAAATGCAGGGTCCAATAACCTGATAACGATTATACAATTCATTTTCTAGCCTGCCCTTTTTTATAAAAAAAAACACACTACATAAAGCAAATCAACTTTAAATCACTGGTTAAGGCTCACTTGTACATACACACACACATATAAAACTTACCATTTCATTTTTGTTCTCTGAAAATATGCTCAACTTTTTTAAGAAGGATACAAGCAGTATCAACAGTTCAAAGTTATCTCTACTCAAGCATTTACATATCATACCGACTATTCCTTTATTGTGCATTTTGATTTCAACGTTAAGATCTTCACTGATATTTAAAAGTAGGTAGAAAGAGACTGTAAAAAAGAGACGGGGAGATAAGAGAACAGTAACACGTTTCAGCATGCCAAACAGCAAATATCAATTAGTTGTTTTATCGTAAAAGTTAAAAGCTTTGAAATAAGGTCAGCTGTAGTTCAGTAACTGAGTTTAAGCAAGATAATTGTATGCAGTACCTTGAAAAGCCTAAAAAATGGCATATTTTGAAGTATATGATTTAAATAGTCATTTTTAGTGGCACGGTAAGCCCCCTCCCCCCCCCAGTGCTTAGAACTCCCTTATTTTCTATCAAATAGTAAACTGGATTTAGAACTTTCATATCAGATTTCTGTCCATCAAAGGTTTGGAGTTTGCATTCTTCTTGCACATAAAATTAAGATAACTTAAGGAAGGTTGGAAAAATTAAGACTGACTTATACCAGAAATGAAGGAATAATATTTACTTTTATAAGGGTTACAATGAATTTAACAACCGACAAAGTAAACCATAAATCCAGGTGACCTGTATTTAAATAACAGAGGAGATCAGAAGTTTGAGACCCTCTGACATAAGAAAAGTCTTTTAACTGCTTCAGTAAGTTCACAAATGGTCAGTGGAGCTCCTAAAACCTGTGACACTGTGACAAAAGTTTCACAGTCAGTTACATTCCACCACTCCATGATACCAGCATCCAACGAACACTAAAGTTTTTATATGTATTTTACACCGACAGATGTTATTTTTAACAATATTTTATTTTATTTATTTATTTTATTTTTGATTACAGCTTGATTCCACACTGTATTTTTGGTACAAGTATGAAATTTTCATCATGTAATATCGGTAGCCCAAATTTTGCAGACCGGCCATAGATATCAGGTGTGAGTCGGCATGTGCATGGTCGGCGAAAGTCCTAACAATACTCACAAGTACAAAAGTTACACAAAGCATTAAAGAATGTTTTTATAGTAAGAAAGTAATAATTGTCTATGGATGAAATTTCACAAAACCACATGAATAGTGTGAACATCTGCGGAAGTTTAAACATTAATATGTAAGCTTAAGTGGCGAATGAAATTGGAACTGACATCAGTTACCTTTACTTTACACGTTAAAAAATAAGGTCTTTAGAAGTGATCACTTCGTTTCTAGCGTTAAACATTTCTTCACCATGGTATTCTCTTTAATAAACTTAGTTTGTTGTAAACCAGTATACTACATAGGTCTCGTTGTTTGATTTTGGAGATGCGATCAAAATATGTACGAATGGGAAAGTCAAATAAACTCAGACAATTTTGAACAGCTCATTAGAGCATGCAACTATTTTACTTCTGTTGTCATAACTATTTCATTATAGCAATTTGCAATGCACAGTATCAGCGTTTGACTGAATATTATCTGCTAATATTGCTTTATGTGAAATTAGTGAATGTGTCCTTGGGAATATCATCTCTGACAAACATTCTAATCAATCATAAAGCATGCTAATTTTTTGATTAGTCAACAGGCCATGTATAAATGAAATACAACATAATGAATAATGTTCATTTGATAACCTTAAATGACTTAACTGATTTATATTGACTCTCAGTCATGAAACCTATTGCGAAAAGGTGTTAGAGCGTATACAATAAGGTAGTTAGAGTACAGTAGCGCAAACCCATGATCCCATGAAAGTCAGATAGTAATTCAACCACTCATGTTTTCGAGTTCTGTCGATATTCAGTGTAGCCTGATCATAACACCATCAGTAGTAAATTTTAGACTTGAATAACCATTCTGCATTTAGCAAGATATTTTGTCCAGTTGAATATGACTGAATGAATTGGCAACACAGACTGCTGTACAAAAATGCATCAATTCCAGGTGACGCACTTCAGAAAAACATGTAGAAAATTAGGAGAAAATATAATGGAACTACAGTGGAAGGTGGAAGAGTATCTACATGTAGATTGCTAAATATTTCTAGACTCTGTATTTGAGCAATATCACAAATAATCTCTGACAACTGTTTTTTTAATATTCCTAGGAACCTACTCAGGTAGTCTACACCGACTTTCGTAGCTCGAAACAATAACTTCGTAGACTGGTGCTATGCTTTTATATTTAGCAACTCCCAACACTTTTCAAATCTAGTCCTATTTCAGCTAACACTGTCTATCGAGGATGAAGGTGGCTTGGTATACGCAATACACTACTCTCTATGCAGCTTCACAATTTCGTCAGTTGACTTTCACTCCTTACCTCGCGCTCTCTGCTTAGCTTCGTTTTAGCTCACTGTACTGTCCCACTTATCATTAGCAATTGGATGAATGTACCTATGGCTAAAGCCGATAGTCCTTTTAATGTCTACTATCTTCAACAATAATGTTTTACACTTGTGAAGTAGGAAGAAGCGAAATGTCAAAAAGCACATACACCCCTGATGAACAGGTAGATATCACTCCTGAGTCAACAATGACGAAAGAGTCAAAAAATACCAAATTAGCCTTTTATATCCGTGTTGGTATTTCATCAGCACCCAGTCAACTATGGCTAATGCAACTCCTTAGATAAGTAAAATGGTTGAATGATGTAATTGTTTCACTAATTATCATCAAAGTAGAAGTCGATACAGACCGGTCCTTTAGTATCGTCTTACATTTGACAAGCAATAAGTTTCCTTGTAATAACCACAAGACCATCAGCTTGGCTAGTATAGTATCCTACCGTGCTTTGAAGATGTTCCTATGAAATTTTAAACATACAGATGGAATTAAACAAAATGAGTAATACGTGTAACTCATCATAAAAGGTAATATAACAGGCATCTATATGAATAAAGCCTCCTCTGTTTCCGATGCAAGTAAAATAATATAACTTACCTCTGAATAACTGCTCTTGTTTTCTTACAAGTGATTTATATTTTGAAAGAACTGTTTCATAATTATTTTGTAAGTCATCTGTTGAACCTTTGCTATTGGAAGCTGAATGCATCTCTGACTTGTTATTCGAGGCATTTGACAGTTTATGTTTCCTTTCAAGCTCGTCAATCCATAAATCATATTTCTTCAGTTCATGATCAATTATTGTCATTATTAATGCACCTAAAAATTGTATAATTTTCAAGTTATTCAAAATAAATAGTCCACTATTGATTAAAGAAAGCCGATTATGTTAACAGATAATGAGATGGAATCTTTTCTTCTTGGCTTGCAAAATTTTTAACTGCTTAACTACAAATTCAAATAAATATTGTCACGTTAACGCAAATTATGCCACTCACAAACCCATAATCATTGCACTATAAATGCAGGCTAGACGAATGATGAAGTTAACCACTTGAGATACGTGAAATAAGTGCTTGATAAACTTGTTTATTGATACGAGTACACTGAATGAGAGACAACTCCACTCAACCTTTTTTCCCAATCCAAGAATGAAAATCAACTACCAGCTGACTTGAAAATATTCACGGTTAGGATTGCCATTCCTTTCTGTGAACCACTCTTACAGGTAAACTCATAAAATAAATAAACTCATAAATCTAACACCTGTGTCTCCCTAAAGAGCAACCAGTAATTTTCCTGTAGGTATGTCTTTGACACCGAATTCCACCAACCAGTGTTAGACATAGGTCATTGAACAACTTCTGAATGGGATCAGAATTAACTGAACAGGGTAGAAAACAAATGGAAAAACTAATGATCACTGACGCACGGTATCCGATTCAAAGATATTAACATGCTATTCACTTCCAAAAAAGAAAAACTGTGAAGAACCCAGCAAAAAATAGCCATCAGTGTTAAACACTGTTATCAAAATGTCAAGGAGACAGTACAAAAACAAAAAGCTATATATATATACTTGATCATCAATCATAGTTATACAAACCTATCAACTCACCAATTTTGAAGTGCAATATTACTCCATGGAAGTTTGAGAAAGAAGAGAAACAAAAGAAGATGTAGGCTATATTCGTTGCTAAGTCTGTGCTCTTCTTCCAATCTTCACGAAGAACTCGTGCTAAAGCACCAACCAGAGTCTCTAGAATAAAATGAATGCTATTTAAATAACCCTTTGTACAGATTGCACGAAACATACAACAGTTAAGTGATTTAATACTGCGAAACAATGTGGCGAGGTTCTATGCATAGTACTAAGTAAACAATCGGAATGTTAAATTCAGTACAGGTTTCATGATAAATCAAAATTAGTTACAGAAACATCGGAAATCAGAGAGTACTGGACAGTCGTTTCGTTTTCATTTGGGACTCCTCAAGAATGCGTACCCAAGACCCCACCTAGGGTCGAACCCAGAAACTTCACGTTGACCACTCAACCACTGGGTTTGGGTCTTGAATAATATTTGTCGGTTTTGCTATACGTTCCAATTATAATTATTATTCTTCTTCCAGAAGGACCCATTTACGGATAACATCTGCAAGAATATTTTAATATATAAATTAGAAGTAACGAAAGAGTGTTTCGCAATCTTTGTAAAATGGTACTAGCAGCATCGATAAATGAAAAACTACAATTAATTCAGGTGTATAACCATTTCAAGAGGATAAAATTATAAACACTAAAACTTTGCTCCACAATACCTGTCACGTATGTCATTTGAATGACAATTATCTTAAATGTGACGATTCAAAAGTAGTGTATATGTCAGTCCATGTGTTTATAAGAGTTTACCAGACAATATGTCTCTTCAGATAAATTTAGAAATGATTCTATTCAGCGTGCGAATATGTACTACAAGTATTACTGAAACTAGCTAAAAAGTCGACTACAAGGATGCTATCTTGTCAGATGGTGAGTCAACCAATATGAGCTTTCCTGCTTGAAGACAATCCCTCTTCAGGAAAATTTTAATATGTATAGGGAGATATCTTACAATTTTGATTCTTGCTAAATAACAGCTTTACTGTTCACCCTTTTAAGAATATTATCAGCAAATCAAACATCAATAAATTCATTTCAATCTGTAAAAACGTACAAATTCTAACTAACCGTTTTGAAATAATTCCTCTAGATTGTCAGGATTTCTGGCAAGTTGTAAAATAAGTGCTGAAGCCCGCAATTTATCCGGTATATCTTCATATAACAGTTCCAAGTATTCATCTAAATCAGTTAAATGAGCCACCTCATCTATTTCTGTCGAATCAAATGCACCGGGATCAGCGAGTGTCTCAGATATAGTTGAGGATTTCTCTATGAAAAATTAAGGATCCAAAGTTAAATAAACCATCTTAGCGGAGACAAGCAGTAAATTACCTTTTGAGATTATAGAGTCTTACGCGAAGTAAAAAACACTGGGAAATAGCTTTGCCAACTTATATTGTGATGATAAAAAGTCTTAGGAAATAACAAGAAAATCTATAATCCCACCAGATATTTTCAGTCTTGATCAAATAAAGTTATTTATCAGAAGTGAACGTGAAGAATTTGCATATAGTAAAATTATCAATTATTTTTCAAATTACCAACTATTTTCAAGTAATTAGTTGCTTTAAAGTGATAGCCTAGACATATTATTATCTGAGTTACTCGTTTCTCATTTCCAGTGGAAAAAAATGTACTCTTATGTAGCGTTGTTGTGACCAGAATTCATATACACTGATGAGAACAAAGAATTAGCTTTGGGCTTGAATCAACGGTATTCTGTACGGCATAGCGATTAAATACGCAACCCATGTCGTTTAAACCTCGTAATATAGTGATCTGTCCATTTAACTACCGCCAAATCATAATGTGTTGTGAAACAGAAGTTGCCGTACACTCAGCCTGATTGTGGTGATGTAGTGAATTAATTATTCACAAATACCACACCTAAGTTCTGAACAATTTATACTGAAATGAATGACGGGGCATATTTAGCTCATAAAATCATTTTCAAATGAAATTAAATCGACAAAATACCTAAATTGGCCAGTCATCTCAAGAATTAGCTTAAGATAACCGCAAAATTTCATTTTATCACTCGCAACTGCAGGGAAACAAGTCAATCTCCCGTGTTATCAGGTATTGTTTTGCACATATATCTTTCAACATCGTCATATGGTATGATATTTTATCTACAACAATAGGCGACCTAATTCTTCTGAAATTAAAGTTGGAGATATTGTCTAGAAATGTGTTGTTATTACTACATATTGAAAACGTTCAAAACTCACTTTGTAATCTGAACTTAATCAGTTATGACTATGAATGAAAGCAATAATAATTCATTTTCACACTAAATATTTAACATGAGATTCTTTACACATAAAAGAGTTTATGCATATCATGGTTCAAAAACATCAAGAATAGTCATGGTAGCACTTCATCAGTAACATCCTAATCGCTGATTTTCCACCAGATATATTGGGTAGCAATAAATCTAAAGTCAAACTTTCTGAATTACTGTTATGAAAAAACCTCTGTACTGATTTCCTACACATAAACTTCGAGGAATGAAAGTTTTGTCCAGTATTTCTAAACATTCGTTCCAGAACTTCTAACATTGCTACTAATCACCACAGCCTCCATGGCAGAACAAATAGTAAATCCTTCTGTAAGTAGGACAGCACTTGTCTTTATAAACTGAAATGAAGTTAAATAAAAATTCTGGTCTGACAACTAAAAGCAACTATGGTGAAGGATGTGTATGAAACCAGTAGTCTGTAATCCTATTTTCCAAGATCAGGTAAGAGGCTTCTGGCATTTAGTCATCTGAAACAGTTATGGGTATAGTGTCTACCATGAACAACGCCACATCAACAGTTAAAGTGATCACACGCTTCATGTAGACCATGAAAATCAGTAAAACAGCTAAAGTTGAGAGCTTGGATATTTAGACTGTTTTTTCTTGGTGTGTGTTTCAAAAATATACAACACACATCTCTTTTCATTCATCACACACCATGTGAGCATTACACCGACTAAATGAATCACAAACTGTAGCAGCTGAACCGTGCATACATTCTCATTTTGGTGTTCAGTCATAATTTCCTGGAAATAGATGTAGCTTTCGAAACCCGTAATACTTTGAATAAAGTCTTTTTAAAAAGATAGATTAAGGTATATAAGTTGGGCTACACTACAAAATAGACTATTCCAAGCCTTTTATAGCTTTCCTCAAGTCATGAAAGCGTCTTTCACGCAGGCTGCTGTAGCTAATTAATGCAAGTATTCTAACTACGTGCTTGTGTGGTAACTGAGCATTATTCATATGAAGACGAAATATTACTTTAGTTAACATGTAGACGACGGCAAACAAAGCACTCCAGAGGCCTGTAAAATCAGTCAAAATACAGGCGGTATTTAGCTGTGTAAGTGCTATTTTAATATCAAACATCGACTAAGCATAAAGTTTTTAAACGCTGGAAATTTAAGCTCACTAGCAATGTGTTAAAACAGTTAGCAGAAATGTTTTGACATCCTTGATAACAACAACTTCACAAACACTGATGATACCTCAGGAAACCACCAAATTGTCATGCTTATATCAGTTAATAAACACTTTTGTTTATTCATCTTTGATGGCAGAATAACGCGTCAGTAACTAAAATAACTTACGGCTTTTAACTGTGGTAGATTCTTTCGCTTCAGCAAATACTTCAATAAATGTTCTATTTGTGCGTATTTATTTTCAGATATCAGCTTGCAGCTGGAAATGATTTTTCTAGCCAATTCTGGAATATCAGTATCTTCATTTAAATTTTTAACGCGAATACTGCATAAAAATATTACTACTCAAACATCATTTACATCTTTTGACCCTCTTTACGCTCCCCAATCATTGGAATTCCCGATTCTCCGAGAATCGTGGCTTCTGTTTCATAGTGAACCACAAGTGCCTTCTCCGTTGGATGTACGTCAATGGAACCACCGCGTATTTTTCTTATAAAAATTCGTAGGTAATTTTAAAAACATACCTTTTTAAAAACTTGGCATCTTCAACCATTTTAATTGGCGGTTTTAAACTAGGACAGAGTCAAGGAAAACATTCAAAACCGTTAAATGATACATTGAAACAATAAAAATCTAATGATTATTTTTTTTCCTTCCTGGTGAATTTTAAGTCCCTTCGCCAAAAATTGAAAACTATTTAGAACGTTGAATTTCCAATTAAATGTAGGATCACGTGAATCAATACTAAGAATCAGTATCACATGGTAACACATAAGGAATGATCACCATGAAAAATTCGCATCGTCATCTGTTATAAACACTTGGTTTTCTTATTCCATGCAGGCTTTATTAATTCTGAATGATTTATCTAAGCAGCGAATGGAATAATTTAAAATGAATAACCGCCACTTATAGACCAGTAGTCCTACTACCAGTAGTATCAAAAGTACTGGAAAGTATTGTTGGTGATCTCATCAGTGAGTTCTTCGTAGATATAGTAGACTCCATGAAGCCCAACACGGTTTCGAAAAAAACAGATACTGTGTGACAAACTTACTATCAGCTTGAGACTACTGAGCATCATTCCAGGATATGAATGTTCAAGTCCATGTGCTCTTCCCAGACTTCATAAGGCATTTGACACAGTTCACCATGGCCTCCTACACAAAATAAGTCAAGCAGGTATAGGTGAGTCGCTTCTGTCATGGTTGAAGGCCATCTAGCTGAAATGAAATTTTGTACTAAAATCAATGGGGTCCGATCGTCTTGCTACAGCTCGTCATCAGGAGTGTCGCAGGGTTCTATCATAAGGCCACTGATATTTTTGATTTTTATCCATGATATACCATGCCGTCTGAGCTTCTAAACTCTCCTATACGCTGACGACGTAAGGATAAAGTGTTCGGAAGACTCATATAGCTGCAGGTAGATCTAAAGCTCCTGGAAAACTGGGCAGCGGTCAATGGCATGACTTTCAACCTAGAAAAGAGCAAAGTAGTGAAGTTATGCACCTGTAGGCAGCAGAATGCAAGCTACACGCTGTGCAACGAGAGATTATTCTGCACAACGTCGGAGCGTGACTTAGGTCTTGAATAAGCGGACACAAGCGTAAACTGCATGGGGGATGTAGCGAGAGCATATGCGCTCAAACACTTTACACATAGTTAGGGGCACTCACTCCTCAGCTGTCTCTAAGGTCGTACAAAACATACGTCAGACCACACCTTGAAGTGCATACTATCACCGCCCCTCCACTGCTATGAAGGGATGCAAACCTCCTGGAAAGAGTCCTAAAATGCTGACAAAAGGCGTGGTGAGTCTCCGAAATGAACCATATGATGAAAGGCTAAAGAAATTAAGCCCATTCATAGTTAGCTGCCGTTGGCTTAGAAGAGACTTGATTACTGCCTACAAGATAACAAATGACTAAAATCACCTAAACAAGTGTTCCTCCACTAAGTAGATATTGCTTTCCCTGTGGTACTCTATGAAGCATAGCTCGCCAGAGGAAAAGGACTCGGGTGCACTCCCACTTCCTATCACTGAGAGTTTACTTTTCATGGAACTCCTTACCGGCAAATGTAGCTACGGCACCATCAGCTTTAAGCGAACGCCGGACAATCATTAAGCGATACAATGACTGTGGCCAAATGGCCTATCCCCTCAAAACCCCGTACTCCACCCATGGGTAGACGTCTAAATTTGTCGTTTCACTTCTTCACATTTTCTCTTCTCTCACTCTCCTGACCACTTCAACTGCTACACTTACACTTGCTATAATTGGTGTTATTATCGACATATATATCGACTATAAATCTATTTATGCCTCTTTTTACGTTTTCTTTATTTCTCTTTCTGTCTTTTAGTCGGAATAACCTAGACCAACTATTTCTTATTATTATCTTTCTTTTTGACGACGATATCGGGGGACCAGCTGGTGAAAAGATCAACTCCACTCGCAGAAACAACAAAGTTTTAACACAACGCATACTACAAACAAGATTCAATTAATCCCAGCACCATTACTTTTAGAGTCAGCCAAATCTACCACGGTCAAGTGGCAGGACGAACTACGCAGAAGTTTACCGAAGACCATGAACATTTACCTCACAATCAAAAAAGTGAACATAAAGAAATCAAAATGGCTGATACTACCTCGCAAAAGCGATATAGGAGATTGAATAATTTCGCCAATGTTAAAAGTGTCATGAAGAATAAGTACCACTGCAAAGAATGTTCACAAGAAGAAGCATCGACATCACAATAAATAAGCTTATTCTGATGTAACGAACAGCAGCAAAAACCTCGCCAGATACTAGCTTGCTAGGCTACTAGCTTACTAGTTTTCTCGCCGGTCCCAAGCCCGGGTAAAGAGGGAGGGTTGGGGCGTGGTGCTAGCAACTCCACCCCTGTAAAACAACCAAATCGCTACAGAAACTTCAACGAATAAATATATTAAAAATTCTAAAAACATAAGCAATAGCCTTACTTTTCGCTGGAATCGGGGAAGTGAAATGACGCAGGCTGGTGAAAGCCTTCGGGAAGCCAGTCAGCCGATGTGCCTTCTTTCGATGAAAGCAAAAGTAAGGATGGGTACCTGGAATGTTCGTACAATGTACGAAACTGGAAAGGCTGCCCAGATAGCCGCTGAAATGAGAAGGTACAGAATAGAAGTGTTGGGAATCTGCGAGAGCAGATGGAACGGAACTGGAAGGTGCCAACTACCTACTGGAGAGACAGTAATCTTTTCCGGCCACCCAGAGGACAACCATGAGCACACCGAGGGAGTGGCCATCATGATGTCACCAACAGCAACCAAAGCTCTCATGCAGTGGGAACCAATCTCCTCCAGGATAATGACAGCCAGGTTCAACTCAAAAGGAAGGAAAGTTACAGTCATTCAATGCTATGCGCCTACAAACGTCTCAGAACAAGAGAAGAAGGAGGCGTTCTACAGACAACTACAAGCAATAATGGACAACGTCCCAAATGGCGATATCAAAATCCTGATGGGCGACATGAATGCGAAGCTGGGAGGAGACAACACAGGAAGAGAACTCACCATGGGTCGTGAGGCCCTCGGCGAAATGAACGACAATGGTGAACTCTTCTCAGACTTCTGCGCCTTCAATGATTTGGTGATTGGTGGTAGTGTGTTCAAACACAAGGATATACACAAGACGACATGGATTTCACCAGATGGAAACACCAAGAACCAAATAGACTTCATCTCAATTTCAAGAAAGTGGAGACGGAGCCTACTGGACACAAGGTCAAGGAGAGGAGCAGATGTGGGTTCAGACCACTATCTAGTAGAAGGGACTTTCAAGGTGAAACTAAAAGCCTCGAGGATAGCTGGGGATAGGCCACAATGCAAGTTCAACACTCAATTACTGAAGGACACAACCACAAAAGACACTTTCACTGCAACTGTCAGAGCAAAGCAGGAAACACTACGCGACATCACTGAAGAATCATGCGTGGAAGAACATTGGAAGTCTCTGAAGGCGATTCTCAACGAAACGTGTTCAACGGTTCTAGGAAGAAAGAAGAGACAAGACAAGGAATGGCTCTCAACGGACACTTGGAAATTAATAGAAGAGAGGAGAATGGTGAAAGAGAAAATGATTCAATGCAAGGACGGACAGGAGAAGGAGACGCTGAGCTCAACTTACAAAGCACTGGACAAAGAAGTGAAGAAGAGTGCTAGGAAGGACAAAAGACGATTCTACGACAATCTCGCCACTGAAGCTGAGAAGGCAGCAGGCAAAAGGGACCTGAGGACACTATATCAGATAACCAAATCTCTATCCGGGAAGAGATCAACACAAGCGAAACCTATAAAAGACAGCCAAGGGAACCCAATTACCAAGGAAGAAAAACAGATTAAACAATGGGCGGATCACTTCAAAGGACTCTTGAACCGACCACCACCTGCAACCCGTCCAGAAATACCAACAACAGCACGTACACAACTGCAAGTTGACACCAATCCTCCAACGAAAGCTGAAGTCTTGAATGCAATCAACATTCTGAAAGCTGGAAAAGCAGCCGGACCAGATGGAATACCCCCTGAAGCACTGAAAGCGGACCCAGAGACGACAGCAGACATGCTGACTCCATTATTGCAAAAGGTCTGGAAGGAGGGAAAGGTGCCTACTGACTGGAGGAAAGGTTACCTCGTGAAACTACCAAAGAAGGGCGACTTAGGCCCCACTCTGCAAGAACTGGCGAGGAATCATGCTCCTGTCGACGCCAAGTAAAATCCTGAGTCGCATCATCCTGGAGAGATTAAAGGACGCACTGGAGACAGAACTCCGACCAGAACAAGCTGGATTCAGGAAAGGCAAATCATGTACTGACCAAATTGCAACTCTACGCATCATCATCACAGAACAAAGCATGGAATGGCAATCAAACCTCTACCTCAACTTTATAGACTTTGAGAAGGCCTTCGACAGACAGCGTTGACCGTGAAGTAATTTGGAAACTACTCGAGTACTACGGTGTACCCCAAATATTCATCAACCTTATTCAACAGCTGTACGACAACGGCACATGTCAAGTGATCCACAACGGAAAACTCAGCGAGCGAGGCGTTTGGAGTAAACACAGGAGTCAGACAAGGGTGCTGGCTTATTATTATCACCACCAATGATATTCCTAATTGTGTGGACTGACTGGATTATGCGTCAGACAGTGAGTGGGAAACGAGAAGACAGGGAGGAGGGATATCCTGGACCGACTGACGTGAAGAACCTAGAAGACCTGGATTTCGCGCGTGGATGATTTATGTTCATTTATGTTCACTGTCACAAAATCGAAGACTTACAAGCGAAAACCGACCGACAAACTGGTCGAAGAAGCAGCCGGCGAAGACAGGACTCCAGGTGAACATAGGTGAACAAGATGGAGGTGAGGAAAATAACCAACCAGCCAACAACAGCAACAGCACCAACATCCAGCGCCAATCACCATCAATGGGATTGATTTGAAAGAGGTTACTTCGTTCACTCACTTATCTAGGGAGGGAGCATTGTCTCTACTACAGGA